GGGCCACACAGAAAAAGAGAAGACAAAGACATTGCGACTCACTATGATGCATGTATATGGACCTCAAAACTAGGATGTATGCACTCCTGGTCTCATAGCTTAAATATAGTCCAAGATCCCCAGCAGTCTTGGCCATGAATAATAGAAAATTCAGGATCATCACTTCCTCCTACTTGTTTCTGAATACTATTCTTTGGACAGAGATGAAGGGATACAACTGCCTCCTGAAAAATGTCCTCTGTAATTTTGGCCTCTGTGTAGTGTTCCTTTTACAGTTAGGAGGGAGGGAACTTGGTAGATGACCTGCTGACAAGTAGGTCTAATGCATCTGTTTTGTAAGTTGATCACTTCTGATGAAGGGGAAGAGGGAAACTTAATTTGGTATGGCATGCAGGCTTGAATCATTCCACTGCTCTAATCTTGTGCTGTCTGAAAGCTTATTTTGGTGGGTATTGTGTGCTGGAATGACATACAACTAGAACTGGTGAGATGTCAAAGAACTTCCCAAAACAGCTTAACCAAATACAATCAGCTAACCTGCAGAACTATGAAATGCACATTTAGAAACACTCAGAGCTGGAATGTAGGTGAAACTAAGTACAGGAATGCCAGGGTTATGTGAATATCGAACAACAACATGAGTATCACCAATAAGGACATTTATAAATGACAGTATTTGTATTTTTCAGTTACTCTGAATTTCTAAACCTCTTAAAATGTTAACTCAGGTCTCCCAGATTCACTAAGGTAAGAAGCTAGGGATCTTTAATCTTATTGTTACTGCTGGGGAAACTGAGGCAGAGAGGTTCAGTGACTTACCCAAGGCCACAGAGGGAGTCACTGTCAGAGCCGGGATTAGAGCTCAGGAGTTTCTGACTCCCAGTCCCAAGCTCAGACCACTAGACCATGGCCTCAGGACATTTCCATCTGGTCTTCAGTCTAAAAAAAAGTAAATTCTCAAGTATGTTACAAGTATGTAACATATTATATATATTTTTTTCACTTGAATGCAATGGTATGAATGAGAACACATTGCTTGTAAATCAATGATGAAAAGCAAACCAGTACATTTTAACCAATCTACCTTTATCATATCTATGTGTTTGATACAGATCTGCAGAAAAATCTTTATTCAAGTTGCAGCCAATAAAAGCAGCTATTGTATTTCTCAGGGTAAAGAACAAATTGCCTTTCCAACCCAGCCAGCATGTCATTTATATTAATGGCAAGGAATGCTAAGTTGCTCTGTGTGTAAGTAAACTCTATTAAGAAAGTCACGTCCCTTGGTGAAGCTAGATCCTTAGTAAATTTTACTAGCTAAGCACTGAGCTCCATGTCAGAGTAATTACACCTTTTATCCACTGTGAGCTCTCTCTTAGCTTCTTCACTCTTTAATTTCCCACTTCAGCTAATTTAGCAGTAAAATCGCAAAGGTTTTAAAAGGTTAGCTACTGAGGAACTGGCGCATGAGTGTTCTGTTAAGCTCCATGCATTGAAATCACATCATGTAGAAGAAGGAATTAATTAAGTAACAATTAAGTAGTGATGGATCATTGACAACATATATACACTTTGGTGCTAAAATTAATCTCCCCTGTAAAGCCAATATATTGTGTATCTTCTCATTTATGTACTGGCTTTTTTTTTTTTTTTTCTCTTGAAATATAAAATGGATAAGCTTCTCAGCAATCTGAAAAAAAAATATCACATCTTTTCTGGCACTATTGAATCTACATACTATCTTAACATATATAACTTCATATTTTTTTTAAAGAAGAATTTAAAGTGTAATGAGAGAAGCAAAATTTGTAAGGCAGGTGATTTTAAAGACTGTAAGGACATCTGTTATATGAAAGTACTTAGTATGTTGAAAGTGTTAACAATTGTGTAGTATTCTCTTGCTGTCTTCTTTTACAAGTTGCCATATTGCTTCCTTGTATGGACAGTCAGCTGCTTAATACATAGATTGGCAGTTAGCCCAGTCAATCCTTGATTCTAAAAGCCTCTTAGCAGATGAAAAATCCTTGGTTCATTCACACCTTGTAGAAAGGATGACAGGGCAGAAGTGACATCCAGATCCATTTAGATCTTTTTGAGCATGATTCTCCTTTGCCTTGCACATACATAAGTGTAGCCATTTATAGCTGTGCAAAGTGAGCACAAAAAGGATTTAAAACACTCTTACCCATGTGAGGGGAGAATTCTGATTTGGTTGCATTATTTCCAGAGGTGATTACAAAAAGTGCCACATAGTGAAAAAATCTGGCTCTGCATAAAGGTAGTCTAAAGAATTTTGACACAAAGCATAAAGTAGCAGTTTACAGAAATTTGTGCTTTGAAGCAAAAGGTATTTTCATATGCTATTTGTTTGTTATTTTTATAGGGAAAATATTAAATGTTAAACTCATCTTCAGAGAATGAATGCTGTTTCATACTTGTTTTTGTAGAATCATATTTAACTAGAAGTCCTATAATATATTCTCACATACGAAGGAATTCATGCCTTGGGTAGAATCCCCACTAGTTCTACCTTTTCACGTGTTACTTCTAAACCCAATTCTTCAAAAGTTACACATAACCATCTGGAATCTAAGCAAAATTTGGTATTAACACAACAGCTAGTCTCAGTCCATCAGAGGTCAATACTGTTCTGGCCACAGTACAGGTAGTAAATAATTGTCTTCAACATTTACCAGTGATCTCTCTGCTAAATGATCTATCACCACTATAACAATCCAAGACCTAGTGTCAAGCATCTTCACAATACCAACTAATATAAGCAGGAAAGGCCTGCAAATACTAGATTAACAAATGTGAGTTAACAAAACTGGTAGTTAGCAAATTAAGTACCTAATGTGGCTATCACTGCAGATATAGTTAAGAATTATTTCCACTTAATAATATATTTAATGTATATTCACTTCATATGTTAGGTCATTCATTTCCCAATACTTCTTGGTGACCATTTTCCTAGTCTTTCCTAGCATAATTCTGATCCTTTCCGCTATACTTAGATGCGACAATGGGCCTGACAACTCAGGTGTGGATTATGACTAATACTGCATTATGACTTGGGGTTTCTTTTTGTTTGCCTTTTTTTTTTTTTTTTTTCCTTCCTGTTCTGGATTCAGAGCTTCTTTAAACATTCTGAGTTGCTAGTCTGGCTTGACTGAAAAGTACTGTGTGTTTGTTGTGTGTCTGCATGTGTGATACCAACTGTTGAAGGCTGCTTGATGTTAGATGAGGGCTTATGCTCAGAGCTGTTCTATAGTTGGCTCTTTGGCAGAATAACTCCTCTCCAATGACAACTCCATGCTTTGTGTGGGGGAGATCCTGCTTAATAAATTATGGCTGTGACAAGTATAATATTAACTGAGATGGGGCATGATTATAATTTCTCGTGTTAATCAAAATCATGAGTCATTCAATTCATGTCAATAGCATTAAAGAGCTACGCTAACAAGTAAGAGTTCAGAATCAGGCTTCTGGTGTTAAATCTAAAAGGATATCTGAAACCTTTTATTAAAAATAGAAAATGAAGGATACATCCTCTGCTTACTTTGCATTACTCAGCCATGCTGTTAGCATAAAACATCAAATAAAGAACTATAATGACAGCTGATAATGTATCATGGTACATGGGTTATCTGTTTACCACAAGTACAGAAAACACTTCCGCATTAACAAGACTTAAGATAATACTATCAACATGACAAAGTTATTATATTAGGTCTCCTTGACTCGGAAGCCAACATTAGAGTTTAAACTATTTATTCCCTTCCTGTCCTTTTTTTTTTTTTTAATATCACATTTAGATAGCTTTGAAAGACTTAGATAAATTTGAAGGACATAAAGGCAAACAATATTTAAGTAAGACCTCAGAAAAGGAGTTAGCTTTGCAGCCCTGTCCATAATGAAAATTACATCTAGCAAGTACAAGAGCATCAAAATAGTGATCATAATTCATAGAGTTTGCTTTGCATATATCTTAGAAAGTCTTATAAAATATTCAGTCTTTTTATAAAAGAGAAAAAAATATATAATTTTCTAAAATATAGATATTCTAAAGCTCTAAAAGGCTTTGTACTGCTGTCTGTCTCCTCCTCAGACAGAGAAATTGTGCAGGGGATGATGGGCCTTAATTTAGTCCTCATTAATAAGTACTTTTAAGACAAAATATTCTTGCAATTGCCCTTATTTAAATTACACTCAAGCTCCCTGTAAATCTAAAAAAGACTATAGGGGAAAAATCATGTCAAGAGGTCTAGCAAGCTATCTGAGTATATGCAATATCTCTGTTATACTTCTCAAGATTTTTTTCCATTTCTGAAGTTAGGAAATTATTGGCATTTGAGTATATTTTCTAGAAATGTTTGATATATTACAGGTCCTAGAAACTATCACTGCCGTATACATGCTCAAATTCACTACAAGTGCATGTGCCAAGATACCAAATCAAAGATTTGAGGTTTCTATCAATAAACTGGGATCAAAATGAAGCTAAAAATATAAGAGTTCTTCTACTAGGTCTTCTATAGGTCTCACCAGTTCTCTCGTTGAAAACTAAAGATCTATCTGTGCAACTTGCTTTTCCAGTATGGTAGGAATAGCAAAAACATTTCCTCCCCATTTCCTAATGAAAGCTTTCTTTTTGCCCTGCTAGACCATGTGTTCAGTTTTGTATTTTACACTTCCTTAGCATAAGAAAACTCATACAATGAAGGAGTAAGACACTGTCTTCAGTCTGAACACGTGTTAAACCACTGGTCCCCTTTAAGAAAACCTTGAATAATTTCCACTCTTGTAGGCATTACACATTTTTACTTTCTTTGTGGTAACATTGCTATGCATTGCAATAAGCACACTTGGACTCATAGATTAATTATAAGGCACCAGACCTTACTTATCTGTACTGAAAAAACAATTAGAAAACTCACTCTTTTTCAGTAAACCACAGTGGAAAAGAAACTAAGGAAATACAGAAAAAAGAAGTGACTTACCGTGGTTGTCTTTATCCGACCTCCTGGTTGTGTACAGGTCCAGCCTGATTTATTGATTAGCAAATCACAGCCTTCTCCTTCTAAACATGGAAGCATTTCACACCACTGTTTTGTTTTGATAATTCGTGCTGAACAGAAAAAAATAAAAATAAAAAGAGGTTTGCAGGAGAGTTCACATTTCACTTATCTCTAAGCACTTTCTCATTAGAGTTGTCTATTTTCATAATCTAATAATGCTGCCATAGGTTATGATTCACAAAATTATTTGCACCTGCTGTGCCAACTAATTTCATTATAAAAATAAAACTTAAAAAACAACAATAACAAACGAAATATAGCCCTGTTGTACATAAAAATAACACTGAAGTTAGCTAACTTTTTAATTCCATGCTTCTTACAGTCATTGAAATAGTGTCTGGAATGCTAACCACTGGAGCCTTATTATTCTAAGTAATCATTATATAAGGTAGCCTAAACATGACCCATGCTGGTATCCATTGTGTTATACACTGTATAAACCTGATACTTCTTATTCTGAAGAGCTTACAGAGAGAATAGACATGAGAGAGAGTGTAGAGAGAAATGCAATAATCAGTTAAAGAGGTCAACATAATGGCAGCAGCTGTGAAACTCTGCAATACTCACACTGGTAGGCAAAGTTAGAGGCGGGCACTAGGAACATAAGCAGGATGTGACAGCAGGCTGAGGGGAGGCCTCATGGCATCTCCTTCGTGAGGGGGGTGGAGGGACGGGTGCTGAGCTCTGCTCTCTGGGGACAGCGACAGGACCTGAGGGAGCAGCATGGAGCTGGAACAGGGGAGGGTCAGGCTGGGTATTAGGGAAAGATTCTTCACCCACTGGGTGGTCGGGCACTGGAACAGGCTGCCCAGGGCAGTGGGCACAGCACTGAGCCTGCTGGAGCTCAAGAAGCATTTGGACAATGCTTTTAGACATAGGGTCTGATTTTTGACTTTTGGGTGGTCCTGTGTGGAGCCAGGAGTTGGACTCAATGATCCTTGTAGGTTACTTCCAACTCAGGAATCCATTCTCTGATTCTATGCTCAGGGAAGCAAAGGTGAGGAAATCATGGGGAAGGAGACAATAAGCAGAGGGAAAAGAAATTGAACAACTTATTACCCTATTACTACAGGGGAAAGGAGGTCTAGTCAGAAAGGTGAAGGTCCCTAACTATCTGAAAGATGCTGGGTTGCGCACTTTGTGTGCTGTTAGTGCTTAGTGTCTCAACTAAGCTGGCTGTGCAAAATATCCTGAAGGTCACATAGCAAGTAGTCATGGAACAAGAGAGCTCTGACTGCATTAAAGTGGATGTGGAACAACTGTAGTGAGATATTTTTTTTTTATTTTTTTTTTTCCAAGCCAGGTAGAACAGTAGGTTTAATTCCTGTAAACTTATTTCTGGGTTATAATACTACAGCATCTGAGTTCAGCTCTGTAGTATCTGGGTTCATTCTGGGAGCATATTAATTAATATTACTAATATCAAGCATTTTATAATTCTTTCACTCTATCCCTGGAGGCAAAATTGTACGGTGGAGTGTTAGTTTGGGATACTTTTTATAAAATGCATATACAGACACAGAATTTCTTGCATTGTGCCATATGTTCATGCTAAATTAGGTAAGGCTCCCAAAACAATCTATTTTTTACTCAGATTGTAAGGTTTGTAATCCACAGAAAATGGTCTTCATTTCCTTCAGAGATCATCTTGACAATATTAGACTAGGCTATGAAAAAGCTTTGCCACCTCAACTTGTACATATAAGTGTGTTTCAGGATTCAATGAGAGAACAAATTCCACATATAAGGACACAGATCATGTTCTCTTCTACGTTCACATGTGACACTATTCTCAGAGTCATGCAATGAATCTTCAAAAATCACAAGCCAAACAAAAAGAGAGCTACAGGGGAAAGAAGTGTACATGAAGCTTCTGGTGTTTCAAATTAATGTCAGGTTCAAGGAGCTTAAAAGCAGGCACATACCCGGTGGCAGTGGCAGCTCTTTGTGCTCACCTGAACATGTGATTCAGCCAACTTACCCTCCTGACTTCCTCTGTCTGGAACTATTTAAGAATACAATTCCCAATGCTGCTAGATCATAGCAAGAAATAGAACTGTAATTTAAAGTCTTCTAATAAAATCCTTTCCAATATTTTGACATGAAACAACTTGTGTCCTCAGTTCCGGTACAATTGTTGGTAAGCTCTAGCAATATAATGAACACTGGTTTCTTTCAGTGGAAGCTCAATCTGAAACTCATATTAAGATTTTCATTATAAAAACTACTTTAACTCCCAAACATCTACATAGGAATTTGCTCTGTTCATTAGGTATTATATATCACCGGAGGAATGATTCCCAAACAATTTTCATAACCACAATTTTTTTTGAAGCAGATCCACTAAGTTTTTATGAAACATAATATATATATATATATATATATATATATATATAATATTATATATATAAAAATCATATTGTACTTGGGGTTCATAGGTACTGCTCTGTTGCGAAGTGGATTGTATCAGTTTTCAAGGCTAACATCTCCTATGTAACAGACAATAGCGACATTCTTCCTGAATGCATCCTTACTGAGTGTGCATTCAGTTGCAGACTTGACAGGAAAACCTTAGTAAAATGTCAACAACTAACCTCACCCATTTGCATTTATATATTTTGTGATTCACATATTGAAATGGCTATTTCTATCAATGTCTCAACAATATGAAGGCTCAGTAAAAGACTGAATAGTCAGTTAAACTCAAAATATTTATATTAGATTGCCTCTGCTATCTCAGGTGGGAGGTTTTCCTGGAAACATAATTTGAACTAATCTTCAAAAATATTTTTCTTTCCTCTGTGGATTACTCTTGATACTTGCTTGCTTGCTATCTTAGAATGCAGCTATCTGTAATATCACAAATACATGAAGCCATTGCTCTGGGTATTGGCTATATCCACACAATTTAAAACATACCCAGAGAATTTTACAGAACATAAAATCTAAAACATATCTTAAGACTAGCTTATGCATCTATATAATTTATTATTATTATTTTTTTTAAATAATCAGCTCACATGGTCTAAAGTGCTCTAGCTCCAGGGCTGCCTCCAGTGCTGCAGCCCTGGTGTTCTGACCCACACCGCCGGCACTGTCTGCTTCCCAGGATCTCTCCCCTCTTACAAATCTTCATGTCCCTCCTATACTGCTCTTTCCAAGATGACGCATTTTACTCTCTCTTATCCCTCCCCCCCTCAAGTCTCTGCAATTCCCTGGTACAGTTTAATCCAGCAGGTGCCTTCCTCCATAACAGGGTTAGTTTTATGTAAAACCTTCCAGACAATTCATATGACAATTTCATATAACACATGTGGATTCATATTCCTGTCTTAACAGGCCTTGTTTTATGGGCCATTTGCCAAAAGTAAGCCTGGTGGGCCAGTTGAAGTTTATACAGACATACAGTTCTGTTAAGCACGTGCAGCCACATCAGAGGCTATATCCATATCTGTGGGATTATGTCTATTTTTGAATTTTTACTTTTCACTTTGCCCACTATAGCAGAGTGTCACGGTGAAACTAAATATATAATGCAGGGAGCAAAGCATACAACCATTTTATCAGCACAATATCAAGAATTTCTATCAGTAATTTGAAATGAGTTACACTACTTGAAGCAAAGGAATACAATGTATTTCCTGAGGCAGTATAGTTGCATTTTTACTGTGTATATTCACTGGGGGTGAAATTCAGCCTTCTGCAGACAGACAGCAAAAAGCCTATCACACTCTTCAAACCCACTCCAACCTCTATTATAAAGAATTAAGTGGCACTTAAATGATACATAGGCTTTGTGCAAGCTTTCTGCAAAGAACTGAATTTCATCTTAAGAATCTGATCTGACACTGCTTTGCATCTCCTAAGAAGGGCTGTGCCCTTTCACTTAAGCTGAAGTTAATAGGAACTGACGGTGCTCAGCACATGGTAGAATTAGTTTCCTGGGTAATGCCATTTGAACTGGAGAACAAATGGGGCCTATCCAAGGGCTTCTCATACAAACAGGTCTGACGTGCCAGGCAGACAGAGGTGATACCAACATGATGCCAAGCTACCCACTAAAATGTTCTTAAACATTCTGTTAAATAAAACATTTCACAATGGATTTCCAATGGAGCTGTTAAAAAAATAAATATAAAATGATAATAATAAAAGCTCCATCCAAAAACTGAGAAGTGTTCCAGAACACCATGGATGATTTTCTGCTAAATATTGCAATTAGACATGTTTTGTCTCTAAGCTTCTCACCTAGTTTAACATCATATATATACTTTTCTATGGAAAAACAGATTTATTTTCTATAGATTCTTTTCACACATTCATTCCACATTCATATAGTTATTGATGGCTGCATTTCCACTGAATCTCACAACAGAAAATCATTAAGTTTTGTTATAGCAGAAAGTGAGATAAATTTGAATAGTGGCAGTAAATGCAAAAACTTACAGCTGTGTAAAATAGGTTAGATTAACAATGTCAGATTGTAAAAGATTTTTAAAAAATGTTGGTGAATGAACTTGGAAATAATAATAAAAATAAAAAAGTGTATTATTTTTTCATTGAATAAGAATGTTGGTTAAAACAGCATTTAGATACTGATAATATGAGTTTGGGATATACCATGCTCCTAGGCATGAAAAGTGGTGTGTGAATTGAATATTTACAAATCATAATGAAAATCATGGTAGAAGTCAGTCAGTTCCAGGTGCCTGAGGTAGCAAATGGAAGATTCTGTGTAACGGAGAGCAGGAAGATTTCTCCCAAGCCCAAGTGGAATACAGAGTTTTTAAACGTGCTTCTTAAATTATGACTTAGATTGCCTGTAATTCTTACAAAATGATATTTACTTCACAGTATTTTTTTCAATGATGACTTCTTGTACTTAATGCAAAATGTAAAGTATGCATTGGAGAAAATATTTCCTTTTTGATTTTCATACATTATTTCATTGTTGTTTTCCTTAAACTTTGAAGAAAGCTCATCACCATAGCTGATTCACAAAGTTCAGGAATGCCATTGGGGATTCATTAGTTTAGATGTAGCATTATAT